TGGGGGGGGCTGAGGGGGATGTGCGGGCGGAGGAGGGCACCTGCCCGCCCGCTCCCTTAGCCCCTGCGGGCAGCCCGGCGACCGGCGGCGCCCCTCGGGAAGTTTGATGGCTTCTTTGAGGAGAGTCAAAGTGCTGCTGGTGTTAAACTTGATCGCCGTGGCCGGTTTCGTCCTCTTCCTGGCCAAGTGCAGACCCATCACGGCCAAGAGCGGCGACTCCTTCCATGACATCCATCCTAGGGCAGAAGTGGCCAACTTGACAGCCCACGGCATCAGCTCCATCCAGGATGCAGTGCTGAAGAGACTCTCCCTCCTGGAAGATATAGTCTACAGGCAGCTGAATGGTAGGAACGGTTCTGCTCGTAATGCCTTTCGAGGACGGTGGCGGGTGGGGAGTTGAGGCAGAGAGCGGGCGCACGGCTTGCTTGAAGTTTGCGTGCTAGAGCCATGCTTTTTCCTGTGTTACTGTGCAAACAGAGTCTCAGCGGGCTGAATCAATTTAGTATCTGATTTCCAAGTTCCGTTTGTGTTTAAAGCTCAGAGTACCTCACACAGGATGGGAAGAAAGCATAACATATAACGCTGCCTTTCAGGTTTATAGTACTGGTCAGGAAATTAGAGGGTCGTCAAATGAGAAGGGTGTTCAGTGGGCGAATACGGGTTGGAGCAGCACACTGTATATTGATTGAGGGAATGGCTTTTACTGCTACAGAGTTGGTTTTTTTTTGGAAGGGAGTTTTTAAATGGCTCAAGTATGCTCCGTCATTTGAGTGCAGAAGGTCAGAAAGCAAAATGCACTTTCTCTAATAAGTTAAGCAAACTATTCGGTATTTCCTATGGCTCAGCATTGACAGCTGCTAATTAAAATCTCAAGTAATGCTTCTCTTTATAGCAGAGTGAAGGGATTTCTATTAAAATCTCACCAGGTTCAGTAGTTCTGAGATGTAGAAAGGGAGTTTTAAAGATGCCGTGTGGGATAGAAAAACATGTTGTAAGGATCTAAAAAATCTAGGTGAGGCATCTAATTAAAACACTGACTGTGGGAAGCTAATTTTTTTGAAAATTGTTCCCCACAGATGCACAACTGGGAATGTAATCTCAATCAAGAGTCCTGTTTATTGCTTCCGATCTCTGTAGCTTTAAAAACTACAGGTTTTTCTATTGCAGAAATAGCAGAGTTAATGTTTTTGGCAATGTCAGTGTGATTCCCTCTCTCGGTTTGGAATATGAAGCTAGTGAATGATTCTATGCCACGTTGAACCCAAAGCCGGTGTGTGCTGTGTCTCCGTACTGAATCTGAGCTTTTGCTGGTTATCCTGCTGCACCGAGGGTGCGAGGCAGGTGTAGGAATACAACGTATCTTTCCTGGTGTGTAATAGTTGTCTCCGTCAGCGTTTGTGCTTTGAGAAAGGCACTGTACAAAATGAGAAGCACTCAGCCGAGCAGCACAGTGTTATTTACGTTGCTACTTTATACACTTGCATGAAAAGCCTGTCCTGCCTAGGAAAGTGCCTGGCACCACGGGATGTTGAAGCAGCACTGTTGGGTGACAAAGAAGGTGAAACAAAAGAATAAGCAAGAAAAAGGTAGAAAGCTGGGTGTGATTTACAATCAAACTCTGAAACTGGCTGCTTCTGGATATTGCTAGGGCAGAAGTTTCCAGGCAGATTTAGGCACCTACTTAAAAAGGGACAGTAGTTCAAGGCGGGAGACCTCATAGTAGGACCTTGGTATTGGACCAGTAATCGCTATGCCGTCTACCATTCCTGCAAGTACAGCGGGAGGGCTGAAATCATAAGCTGTTGCCCTTCTGTGGAGATGAACGTGGGACTCCCTGTTCCGATGTGCTCTGGGGGCTGCTCAGGGATCTGGCTGGTGCCTGTAACAGGAGCTGTGAGCTTAAGGACGGCTCTGAATGTGCTGTCTTGTCTGTAGGCTGCTGTGGGCACTCGGAGTATGTTTACAGTGTAGTACAGCAGTCTCCTTACTGCCGGAGAGCAGTCATGCACCTAAAGACCAGGGGAGGCAGAGAGGTAATAGATATGTTGCCCGTACCACAAACGTTTTCTTAGGGCAGGCAGAAAGCTGAGCACATAGATGTGACATCTTGTCTGGCCTCTGCGTGCCGGGGTGATTTATAGCAACGCTGATGAGTCTGGCTAAAAAATAGCTCTGGCATAGCAGTTATGTAACTTAGGGTCAAGTATATATTTGGTACGTGTGATTTTTAGAAAAGTACGATGTGCTCTGTTCTCTGAGTAAGGTCTGTGTGCTGTGCTTCAGCAAGGCATGGGTTTAGAGCAAGATGTGGGGGCCGGGTGAGCCCCCATCGTCACCCTCCGGCACTAAAAGGAAATGGTCAAGTGTGCTGGGACAGTCCCTAGGACGGAGGGTGCGGAGGCAGCTGGACTGGCTTCCCCGCCAGGAGTCTTCTGTGCCCGAATTGGCATTCGTTCTGTGCACCGAAGAATACTTAAAGCTGAAATCCTAGTACCTGCTTGAAGTCTGCAAATATGAGCTTGCTTCTCTTTTTTGCTTTCAGGATAGGGAAGTTGCATGCTGGTGAGAAGTGCCTAACAAAGCCCGCCAGATGCTCTTTGACAAGCTCCCTGCAACACGCATCCACTGAGAGAATTCTCTTTCTGTTGCGTAAGGTTGGGTTTTGTTTTAAGTCTGACCTGTGGTTTAGCATGTACAAAATGTTAGACTATGGTATCCTACAGTGTAGCATGCGGAAAGTCTGCACCTCAGGGAGCATCGGGAAGCGTTTCGCAAAAGGGAGAAGCTAAAAACACAGTTTGGGCACAATCAGCTATGGATTTTTTTCTGCATTATAGGACTTGGCTGGATTTCAGTGGGAGTTGAAGCCATTTTTAAAAACTGGAATCTCTTACAAAAACTCCATTCTGTAAAGATCAAATGAGCAATCTGATCATATCACTGCTGTGTTTTTGTTTTATGAATCACGTAAAGCATATTGGAAATAACAGCGCTCTCTGCGATGGCAACCCTCATTTTGTATGTATATTTATTTCTGTAAATGTTGGCCATGAAAACAAAGTAAACATCACTGCCTGGGGTCTGGTAAAGGAACGATTTTAAACAATCGTTCCTTTTGAATGACATTTCTCTGCAGCGCCATTCTGGAAATAACATTGGGCCCCCTCTTAGTCCTCTCTGTGCAAGAAGAGCTGGCCCAAATGTGGCCCAGTCTGCCTTCCACAGTGACTCCTGCCTTTCCAGCTGACGCACCTTGCTGGTCTCCTAGTGTTTTCCACCCACTGTTAGCTGGGTTGCAGTTACACAAAGTTACATCATATCAACCGTGGGACGCTTGTTTCAGGCGGTGGTTCAAAAAGTGCCTTGGAGATGCTGGATGGGATTGGGGAGTCATCACAGCAGATGGTGGCCTTGCTTAGTTTTCACCTCGTTGTTACTCATAAAGTATCTGTGCGCAGACTCGGGTTTGGCCAAATGTGTCTGTTCAGTCTTCTTTTGGCCTAAAACTGATTGAGAACTGTATGTGTGCTTTGTTCCTTCCAAAAGTTTATTATTGCTCCTTAGTTCATTGCACAAGTCTCATGGGTTTTACTTTTTGCTTTTCTGTTGCTTTTTGCTGGTCTCCAGCTGGATGGCTCCTGCGGTCCCAAAGAAGTACGAGGGTGCGCTTTGCAATGGAGGGTTTTGTGTGTGCACACACTTATGTGAGATTTCAGAGGATTTTTAATTCCTGTAGTCTCTTTTATGGATGGAATTTTCTTGTTCAGCAGATGTTCGTAGGAAGCTAATGAAGGCCTGAAAGGAACGTGTGCGTTTTACTCGGGGCATTAACTACAACTTGTCTTTTTGATCCAAACCTAATTTTTTGTGTGCTGACATTTACAGAAGCAAAAATTGTGGTCCAGATTATCTCCAACTTTTATGGACATTCACAGAAACGAACTTTTCCGTTGGGTCTGTGTTTACAAAGAGAGGGTTTCTGTGCTTTTGTGACAAACTAGTTAGCTAGTGAGGAGTAGGAGCGAATAAAGACTCGGAAGGGATCATTTGGCTTCTGCCGCAGCCACGGGCTTTCTGTGCAGCCCCCAGACAAACTCTTCCATGTACCTAACCCTCTCCCTCTGGAGGAGTTGGAGAAATTGTGCATTTGTAGGATCCTGAGACAGCAAAGGTGGGCCAACTTTTTAACATCAAAGTGGTGTGTAGGATAAATGCTGTGACTTGAGGAAAGCTGCGGTTTGCCTCAGGAAACGGCGTCCAAAGGTTCTGCTCACTGTGCATTCCCTTCCTCCACCTGCCTTTGTCCTCTTGAAGTTGTGCTCGATCCCACCCTGGGTATAGGGCAGGGAAATGTTCACGGCAGGGCAGCGTGCGTTCCCCTCTTCCCCAGGAGGCTGGATTAGGCTGGTGTGTCCCCTCCGCGGTGCCTGCCCAAGGTAGAAGTGTTGGGAGGTCGGTCATGCAAGGTTGGCTGAGGCACTGAGAGGCTGGTGGGATGTATAGGGTCCATAAGCGGTTTCCTTATGTCTGCAGAGTGCTGGGGCTGCACCGGTGTCGAGTATTCATCGCAGACAGGAGGAAGGAGCCTGGATCTGATTTTGTGCGTTGGTTTTTGTCCCTGTCCTTCTGAGTCTGATCCTGCCCAAAAGCGGGCAATCCCCTGTTCTAAACCCTGTTTGCCAGAAGCTATTTAAGTCAATATATAAATAGTTTAGTAATTAAATAGTGCTGCTAATTTAGGAATAAGAAGTGCAGGAGGGAGAGTACTCTCAATAAACCGCTGGTTTGCGTGTGGGGATGCCATCGTCCGTGCCTACCATAGCTGAGCGCCTGGACCAGATGTAAGCAGGTGGGTCCTGCTGGTCACTGGTGATACAGGGAGCCTTCCACCCAGCCACCTCCCAGGTGTGCCGGGGTAAACACCTCCCTGTCTACTTGTGCGTGTTCAGCAGAGGGCTGGGTCTTGGATTAAAACCTCCAAGGAGCACGAAGGCTGTAAACTCCCTCTCTAGTGCTCTTTGGTTGATACACAACAACAGCTGAATCTGGGAAGCGCTCAGCCGCCTGGTAGCAGTGAGACAGGAATGATGTGGCGTATTCCCGACTAGTGTGAAACAAAAAATAATAAAAAAATTAAAATCTTTCCTTCAAGCTAAATATTACCGAGACAGAAAACACTGTGAAAGGGTACTGCTGACTCATCCTAAGATCTTCTTTTAAGTTTTATTTTGTAAACTCGCAAAGATCAGGGAGAATAGAAGCTGTTTGCAAGTTGTAAATGAGAGGCCAGCGAAGAACCACTGAAGCTGGCCAGAAAACGGGTGAGCAGAGAGGGGTTTTCCCT